CTTCTTCAAATGATAATTTCAATTACTGTAGTAATTATACAAATTTCGATTACTCAATAAAAAAATAAAAAAAAAACTTTTTTTTCACGACCTTCGGTTGTGAGAAAGCAAAAGGAAACAGTTTTTTCTGAAGAGAAAGCAGTAAATGTTTAAAACTCTATAATTCTGCAACGAACCGTCCGATTTCAAATCAGGAATCTTTCAAATAAATATGGGTATTATCAATCAAAAATTGTGTCCTTTTTTAATTATCGGCAAATAGAATATTGAATTCATCGTAAAATTTTTCAGCTTGTTTTCGGGAAAGTATGTTATACACATAAATTAAAAGGGTTTCAAGGGGAAGACTTTAAGCAAGTTTCGTTAAAATCGGTAAAGCCATTTTGGCGCTACAGTTTATAGCGGCACATTTTTTTGCGGCTTTGAACAGAACAAATTTACATTTTTATTTTTTTCACATATATAAAATTATCGTAAGACAGAAGTACTATGCCAGAAACCTTCCCAGGACTGTACGGAACAAGTTCCCAAAGTTCCATGGCGATCGGTTGAATGGTTTAGTAATGCACTAAGGACAAACAGACAGTGGGACATTTTTATGTATAACATGTTTACATTTTTACATACACATTTTTATGACAGACATACATTCATTTTTATATATATAGAAGATAATACAAAAATATAGCAATCTGTTCAACCCAATAGTTTAATTATATATTAATGAAATACCTTATATACAGTCCACAGCATTCAAATAAACGTACCAGCTACAAAGGCAGAATTATTATGTCAATATTCCTGACAGCCGCGGAAGGGATTGGCATAATAAATTAAACGAATTTTATAAAGATGTTAAAAAAATCTTTCTAAGTTTTCATAAAATAATGTCGATTTTTTTTACACGGGCTCTATCTCTCGGACTAAAATAGCTTGAATTGCTAGATAATTTCATCATAAAATCTAGAAAAAGGTAGCCTACAAAAATATTAGGCCTTTTGGTCTAAATAACCTAATTATTTTGATATTTTGGGGGTGGATGTCTCACCAAACGGCCCGATATTTCAGTAGGCCATCTTTTTTCCTCGATTTTACGAACAAATTATCTTAAGTGAAAAGTAAATAGGTGTTTAGTACCTCATTAAAATAGGCAAAGTTTACCGATCTTCCTATTAAAACGCACCGTTTCAGGGAATTTTAGTAAATTAATAAGTTATAGATTACGACAAAATTAAGTCATTCACGAAGTATTAAACGCATGTTAATAATTTGATAGAAAAAAAATGGTCTGTACAGTGGACTAATGCATTGGGTAACTCAGTTTTTTTTATTGAAACTTATCATGAGTACAAGACCACTGCACTTGAGATAAGATAAGAAACTGCACTCCACCGGACCACAATGACACATTATAGTCCGTGGTACAGACGCCTTTTTATCAAATTATTAACATTCGCCCGAAACTTCGTAAATAACTTCATCTCATCGTAACCTACAAATATTTTATTTACTAAAATTCTCGGAATTGGGACGTTTTCAATCAGGAGGTCGACAAACTTTGTCTATTTAATTAATTACCAAAAACTCGTAAATAATCATTTGCTTTCCATTTGAATAGTAAGATAACTTGAAAATAAAGTAAAAAAAAAAAGGTGGCCTACAAAAATCTTGAGCCGTTTGGCGTGACCTACACCCCCAAATTGTCAAAATAACGAGGTTATCGAGGCGAAACTTCTCGATATTTTTGTAGGCCACATTTCATCTCGATTTTGTGATCAAATTATCTTACAATCCTAGTAGAAAGCAAATGGTTATTTACGAGTTTTTAGTACCAAATTAAATCGACAAAGTATGCCGTCCACCAAATTGAAAAAGCCTCCGAGATTGAAAATATCGAGAATTTTCGTAAATAAAATATTTGTAGGTCACGATGAGGTGAAACTATAAGCAAGTTTTAGCCGGAAGTTAATAATTTGATTAAAAGTGTTCTGTACCACAGACTATTAGCAATTACCAACATCTAAGCAATTTTTTGAATCACTAGGGCATTCATTAACCAAAATCTTATAAAAAGAGTCATTTCAATTTCAACCTTCGAATCTTCTTCTTAAAATATTACAGATCTTATAAAGAAATGGAAAGGATTTCAAAGAACATATTTAAATCGTAGATTCAACTAAGTCTTCTTCAATATTCCCCCAAATGTATTCCTCTTCTTTTATCCCAAATCTTACTATTTCTTCCTTTATCTGTTCAGAGTATTATTATGAGATTAATTTTTTGTTTCAAGTAATAAAATTTTTGAAAGTTCATTAGAAAAGTATAACTATAAACGTAGCCACCTAAACAACATCGCTTCGAAACGTCAGAACATCAAGATTGAACTCTTGTTTCTAGTTCTATTAGTAGTTACTATCATTCATGCATTGTATTGCAGATCTTGCTTGTAGATTGCTTCACAGAGATGATTGTGTCCAGAAGATTTCAAAACATAAAAGCAGTTTTAGCGAGATTGCGTTACAAGGACAAAAGAACTAGTTCCATCGGTGAACGTCCAAGTATAACTTGGGTAACTCAAATTAGGAAAAAATTACAAATTTTCAGAGCTCACGTTTTAAAGAATAGAAGAAAGGTAACTTTCCTCTATTTCTAATAATAATCCTTTAATTTAAAAATTTTAGGATTTTTTATTTTATTTTTAAACGTAACTATAGTTATTGTTGCAGTCTACATAATGATTAAGTGATTAATAACTCACTTTTAAATGGCACTTGCGATGCATAGTTATCGCATTCAAAAATGCCTAGATGTTAAAGAGACAATGACTATATTTTCATAATAACAGGCCCAAGTATAATTTATAATATATTACGATGAGTTCAAGTAACCCATCGCTGGATCCAAGTAGTGCCAACTTCTCAAGGTACTCGCTTAAATAATATGAGGCTAGGAATTGGTACGATCAATCAACTAACTGAATATATAAAGAACGATTGAGACAAGAAGAAGCAATTTATTTCTTAGTCACATCCAACTATTTCAACATTTACAAGACAAATACTATAAAATTCTAATAAGTGATAAAAATTTGATCTAAGTGACTATAGTCTGGAAGAAATCCGCTAATCAATCAAATCGCTCTTTTATCAAATATGTAAGATCCAAAATCCTTCGCAACAGAACTATGATTCTTATAATTTTTCAAATAAAATTGTTCATAATGAGTTTGATATCATATCGGCAGCCACGTGCAGTTACACAGCAACATGCATGTCTATATTAAAATTTCGCCGGAAATATAAATTTTTTCTTTCTTCATAAAATCCAAGTAAAATAATTTGTAAATGTTTTCCCAATCTATTATCGATGAAACTGTTGTCGGAATGCAACTGATGTATACTTTCTACATTAATCAGTGCCTTGTCACATTAAATCAAGGTACGCATTTTTTTGTTACATTTTTTTAGTTAGATTACATTTTTAATACAGATGTAACTCTCAAAATATTTTATTTTTTTTAAAATCTGAACTTTTTAAATTTTAACTATCGATTTTGGTCTGTTATTTTGAGATTTAATAATCAAAGAAAAGCACATTGACATTGAAACAGAACAGCTACCTGATTATATATATAATTTCTATTTGCTTGACTGTTAAATAATATATATTTTCTAAGGAATTTATGTCTGTTCAATAAATAAATAAATACATCCAGGTGATGTTTCAAGACTCTATTTTCATATAATCCAATACTAGTAACTAAAAGCTTGTAAATACTAAAATGAAAATTCGATGATACCTATTATGGTACATTAACAATTACAATAGTTCAACAAAACTATACGCGGCTTCGATGGCGAATTTTCTTTCATTTCTTTTTAATTTACCCTGGTAGAAGTCTTACATTTATGAAAAGATTAACTATCATACCTATAACAACTTGTATTACAGATCAATTAAAATTTAAAAAATTATATATATTTTTTTTTATATTTTACTTAACTTCAAGACAACTCTACCAATTCACCTGAAAATTATTAGGGATTTGGCGTTCTTTATGCTACACGGAATGGCATAAAGCCGCCTTTCATAGACAAATCAGAACTAAAGTAATAAAATAAAAAGTTTTCAAAGGTTTTAGTTAATTTCGAGGTTAAAAAGGCGTGAAATCCCAAAGTTATTGATGTCAGTTAAAAATACGGTAATTCAATTTTCTAACGGTTATGTTAGCGTTGAATTTAGGGAAAATTCTGAGGATTTAAAGAATGCTTTAGTTGACGGCGAAAAAGAAAACAAGGAAATCAAGAACTTATCTTATTAAAGCACATCTGGAAAATTTTCTCACAATCCTCTCATTTACCTACCTAGGTGCCAGTACATTAACACCTTTAGTACTTAGTAGTACATGCTTAGTATTTTAGTATTAAATATTACATTTCTTAAAAATTTATTATGTATATTATTTATAGTTTGTCTAGCTTATCACCTATTCCATTTGTCTACTAACATGTATCATCTATCACTATTTATCATTATTAAGTATTGTCGGTTGTACAATATTAAATCTCTGATGCCATACAATTTTTCAGCTCTGATGCTTGGGTTGAAACCACTAGCGGATTCAGATTTAATTTGGGGGGAGGGAAGGATGGATTCAGCTCCAAAACACTTTTTTTCATATATATATAACGATAGTAAACTACCTATGTGAAATGGTGTTTAAGTGATTTTTGAAGCCCTATTGAATGTAGTTACAAGAGCAATAATACTTTAAGAGATAATTTTTTCCAAAAAAATTGGTTATATTTTACCATTTTGTAGAGTTAAAAGGGCTTCAGTCCGAATTTGCCACCCATAATATATAGAACAGTCGACTAATTTTCTTTAATTATATTTACAGTGGTTGGAAAAAGTCATATATGTATAAAAGTTATATATATATATATATGTGTGTGTATATACTGAAATAGATATAGATAGGTATGTAGACTTGGAGGTACCTGTATATAGATATAAGATATCTGATGGTAGACTGGGCGGCGCCCCTGTCCTGAGGCAGGCTGTAGATAGCCACCGGGCGGCCCTCCCTGTCCCTGCCCCCGGGCACCCTCAGGCCCCGGCACAGCACCTCCGTGTCCTTCATCTAAAACAATAACAACAGCTTTATTACTTATATTACAGATTATTATACTATTGTCTAATATAATATAATATAAAAAGGTTAACTCTATACAATACGATCATAAAGCTATCTAAGACCTCGCAGATATTAATTGTACATAGATATAACGAGTTTTAACAGATTCTTGATAACAGTTTTTGAGAAAAGTGTAAGAAAATATAAAATTTATTGTATAAAGTATTAATGGCACTTCATATGTATTATATATAATACCTAAGGTTAGGGCCGCGAATATTTATTTGATTAGGAAAAGATTTTAAAATTATTTACAAAATGTAAAATATAAACACAAGATGCCTAAAACATTTATTAGATAATTTTTTACTTTCTCTTACTATGTATGTAATATATAGTTTATATGTATATATAATGTATATGTAATATATAGTAAGGGAAAGTGTTGTGATCGTGAAAATTTTTTAATCTGAGTTTTCAACGGAAATACACATTTTGAGGTCCCCTGAGTCCAAATAACCAAGTATCGCAAAATGTTCTGTGTGTATGTGAACAGTCGTACGAAAACGAAAAGTCGTACGAAACTGTATCTAAGGTTTGTATGTGGCTCAGATGTGCCAGCAACTTTTTCCTTAAAATTGGCTAGCCGATGGCCCCTTTATATCAACGGTGATACATATTTTTACAATTTTCTAAAAATGGCTCTAACGATTTTGATTAAACTGGGTGTGTCATTGCACAATTAAGTGGTCTTTAATATTATATAAGTCTTATCCCCATTTATGTCACTTTACAGGGCTTAACGGCCCTACATGTTCTACATGTCTTCCTCTAAAGTACATTTAATTTGGTTTATTTTAAATAATTAACTATCTCTCATTATTAAAAGTGACGAAAAAATGCTAAATATAACTTTTAAAGAATTTAATAATTGAATAAAGGAGATAAAAAGAAAAATGCTTATCCAGTTCGAAAATGAATATCTAGAAAAATAGTCGAGGTATACGTATAATATATCGTTAGAAAGCGAACAATTTAATAATAAGCAATATGTTATACAGAAGATAACGGAGAGTGGCGACAAAAATATAAATAATAATTTCTAAAACCTAACACTACTTAATCTAAAGCACATTAAATAACACGTTTTCAAGGAAATAAAATGAAATTTTCTTACTGATTGTAAATGTAAACTTTCAACATTTTTTAAACAGTTTTTTAAAGTATTTAAAATTCACGAGATCACGGCAAGGACTTTGTTCAAGATAAAAATGTTTCATGGTTATGTTTATAACCTTAATTATATTTACTGTACTTTAATAACTGTAGATGTGATATTATATTTAAATAATTAGGTATCTATCGTCCATTCCAAAAAAATCATAATGTAACCTTTTAGAAAATTAAATTAGTGAATAATTTGATGAATTTTCCATTTTTGATATCCCAACAGTATCCACTTACAATTAGTACACGGGCTCCCCAAAATGGTAAAATATAACCATATTTTATGGAAAAAAATATCTTTGAAAGTATTGTTCGTCTAATTACTTAAAGACCATTTCATATAGGTAGTTAGTGTCTTTCTTTCTTCCGAAGTCATTATCCTAACATATTTATACAAAAAAATCGGTCGGGCTGAAGCTCCCCAAAATTAAATCAACTTTTGACCTATCGATGTCAGGCAATGCGAATCTCGTAATTCCATTTTAGTAAACTTTACAATGGAAAATAACAGTTTAATAACTAATAGTCGTACAATCCATAATTAAAGGATCCCCCAATCCATAATCAACGGATCGTACAATCCATAATCAACGGATCGTACAATCCATAGTCAACCTGTGATATATTAAATAGAATTTTTGTCATTTTAATGGTATTTATGACTTGTAAGCTTGTTGGCTGTAAGCTTTATTCTTAAGCTCAGTTAGAAATGCAATTCAAAAATTTTACAATAGCCCAACATGGCCAGAAAATAATTTCTATTCAAAGTTAAGCGGTAAGTGAAAGTCGTGTGTTGCGCACACCAGATCTTTTCTCACAACTGAAGATTCATTTATAGAAATATGCCAAGTTGGTAAAAATCATCGTTTGTTGACCGAGATCATTGACCACACCATTAAATTAAATTATTAAGCGATGGTACTAATTTTAAAACAAATTTAACATTCTTTAATTCCTTAAAGAGCAACTAAATCTCTCGGATGAACCATTCAGGAGTTAAAGGGGAAGAAATAAAAATAAAACATCGATGTATTCTGTGTAATTAGAATTGTTTTGTTTTGTTTCGTTTTTAACTTCTTGATGGACATACTCATTAAAGAATGTTAAATTTTGCGTCAGATCAATACCGATACTCAATAATTTGGTTAAGTGGTGTGGTCTATAATCTTGACCAAATTTGTCAAAAACAGATCAATATAATTCTATAAATAATCAGCTGTAAATTGAGCTTTTTAAGTGAAATAAACCGGGCAATAAAAGTTGTAATCATTTTGTGTTACTTAATTTAATATGTTTTGTTTTTTTATTTGATGGCCTAAGACTTGCATTGAAGTCCTATACTGGATTTCATATTTTTAAAATAATTTTGAAATCTTTTCTATGTAACAAAAAAAATTGGACCATTTATATGAACATTCTTGTAGTTGCTGAGGTCTTCTAGCACCTCTTTAAACATTTCCCTCTACTTACTATGTTTGTTAATAAAAAATAAAAAAATCTACTAGAAAATTTGATAATTCAAGCAAAACTCTGTATCTAGATAATGATTTTTTTTTTTTTTTTTTATATCTTCAATTTCAATTCAGCCGAACAGCTAACCGCAATATAACATATCTTATGAACGCTATAATAATTTCCTCACGGAAACCCAACCTGCGGCTTAGCGAATGCGGCGCGCCCTGGTAATGGTTTGAATTACACAAGGCAGGAAGTTGTAGGATGGCAGAAGGACGTGTGTATTGTAGTGTATTGTACAGGGGTGTCACTTCCCATTGTTATTATAAATGACAATTTCAAACGTATCCATGGTGAACCAGTCCTTCTAGGCTTCTTTGACAAGCAGGAGAGGAGGATCACCATAAGTTAGTTGATTACCAGTTTTTATTTTATAATTTATTAAAATTTGGTATTTAATTATTAAATTAATTTCTAATATTATCGGATTGTTTTGTAAGAAATATTTTAGATTGTTTATTAAAAACATTTTAGATTGTTTTATAAATTCTTATTATTGTTGTTAATTTTATTACTTTATATTATCTAGCCAGTTGAAGGTCTGATTAAAGACCAAAACCAGTTGCGGAAATAAAAAAATCTGGTGCGCGCAACACACAACTTTCACTTACCGATGTACTATGAATAGAAAATATTTTCTGGCAATGCTGGGCTATTATAAATTTTTTGAAATGCATTTTAAACGGAGCTAAAGCTTAAAGCTTACAGATAACAAGTCATTAAGACCATCATAATTACAAAATGTCTATTTAATATATCGACGACAGGCAATAAAAATCTAGTCACTCCATCTGCCTTTATAAACCACACAACTTTCTTTGAACCTCAGAATGACTAACTCCAATTTCAACATTTTTGAGTGATGTCATTTTAGTGATATTTTTAGTTGAAAAAGTTATCTATGCAGAATATGAGTAAGTTGATTCCGGAGGTGGTGATTGCAGTGTTGAAATATAGAACTGAGAATAAAGTATACATTTTGGTACTTATTTCTCATGAAAAATGTTCTTAGGAAAGATACTTTATTAAATATCTGTAGAAAAAAGATTTTTTAGTCTCAAAAATTAAAAAAGTATATTTTAAATTTATCCAAATTTTCGCCTCTTCAGGGAAAAAAACTTGAGACCATATCTTTCCTACTAATTGTCCGATCTTAACTATTTTTTTTTTATTTTTTTAGGAAATTCCATAAACTTTTAAAAAAACATAATAGTGTATACTTTTTGAGTTATTCGGAATTTAATTTTACCATCATTCGTAACTTTTTTTCCAGCTTCTTTTCGTTGAAGAATGTTATATAGATAAATTTAAAGGGTTTCGAGAAAATTTCATTCGAAGTTTCATTGAAATCGGTACATTTGTTTAGGCGCTACATTCTATAGCAACGCAAGTTTTTCTCCATTTTTATTTTTTTCTTCTCCTTTATTAACTTATCAAATTCTTTCAAAAGTTATATTTAGCATTTTTTCGTAACTTTGAATAATGTGAAATAATTAACTTTTTAAAGTAAACCATATTAAAGGTAGTTTAGAGAAAGACATTGGGGTATATAAACATTGGGCATTTAAGCCCTGTGAAGTGACATCAATGGGTATGCAACCTAATTCATAATAAAGACATCTTGATTATACAATGATACACCAAGTTTAATCAAAATCGTTTGAGCCGTTTTTGAGACAATTTTGAAAATATGTTTCAGCGTTGATATAAAGTAGCACTTCCGGTTAGCCAATTTTAAGGAAAAAGTTGCCGTCACATCTAAGGCATATACCTATCTTAAATAAGTAATATCAGTTTCATAGGACTTTTCGTTTTTGAGCTAGACTGCTAATATACAAACACACAGACACATAGACCATTTTTCGGGACTTGGTCATTTCGACTCAGGGTACCTCAAAACGTGTATTTCTGTTGAAAACATATATTACATATATACGTAAGTGAAAGTAAAAATATATAGAATGACGTCTATTTTATTGAATTCAAATATCAAAACCTGTGATATCAAGTCTCAATTCATGAATTTAAATATTATTTCGTGCTTGTCATTGATTAATAAAAGCGTCGATTATGATTGATATTTCAGTTATAAAATTTATTCTGACTTATGTTTTGGTTCGTATTAGGCACCATGAGAAAGGTTATTAATAATAAAAGGCCGGATGGGGAAAACTAATCCTCACATGATTATGTACATGCGAAAATAAAATGATTTCAATATCACAATTATGGGGCCACGGCCTGCGTGACTTTGAGATAACAAATG